TATCAAAATACATCTGATGTCGGTCACATTGATTGGTATTGGTCACTCACCGAATCCTATAAACTTATCCTCATCAATATCAATCTGGAAGTGTGAATTTCGCCTGCTAAGGGTATAGACCTGCATGCTGTGGGCTGTCGAATAACGTACGCAGATTATGCAGGTGACTTCGTAATGTTTCGATTGGGCATGCCATCGGTAATCGACTTAAGCTGTGTCTGGTAGAGAACAGGTAGTCTTCGAGGCAATGCCGTAGTTACTCGAGATGTGCCATTATCTTGTTTGTGTTTCGGGAATTTGGTTCGGTCAAGAGAACGGACATATCAGTTAACGATGTGCCTAAGCTCCTAGATCACATCGTATAGGTATGTTTACCTATTTTTATGTAGGGATGTCGGGATTAACCTATTAACTTATTCGTCCAAATATAAACCGTCAGCTGTCTACTCAGTAACTCTCTTGAATAATGAGGGATCAACCTGCACCAACATTGAAATGAGCACGTCAATTTAGTTCTTCCTATTCTGTATCGGTAGCCGGTTAATAGCACATGAATCCTGTATTTGCAATAAGCTAATCACATAAGCATATGGACGTACCAGCTTTCAAATTCTCACATGAGGTGATCATGTGAACAAGTGGCGATTTGGCTGTCTCCGTTTGGAGGACGCGGAGCACCAGCCAGACGCAGATAATGCCGAAATACCCCCTCATTTCGGTGAACTCGAGGTTCTCACGACTGGTGTCCAAGATATCGTAGTCGTCAAATTGCGTAAATATACCTGGCCTCGTTGTCTGCTATCCAGGCGAAACGACCCGCTCCATGGCTCTCAATAATCTGAGTAACTGCTTGTTAGCCATTGCCTATCATACCGATCGTCATCAGTTTCTAAGTAGCACGAGTGATGAACAAACACATGCTAACTTTCGAAACCCATGTAGGCGCAGCACTTTTCAATACTGAGAGAGTTTGCGGAAGAAAAGGGTCGAAAAACAAACAGTTTGAAATAATAGTCATGAGGTCCTCTTGTGTGTGTCTCCGACCCCACACCCGTTACGCTTCGGATAGCGGTAGTTATTATGTTAAGTGAAGTAGTAAGTGGAAGGTACATACCAA